GAAGGCCTATGGACGTCCACGCCAGAAGGTAATGATCATCGCGGGGCGAGGATCACGTGATTGACATCACGCCAAGACGACCGTCAGACGCTAGTATGTGATGGCAGCAATCCTTTGATGGCAGCCATCAGGACATCAGGCCAAGCAACGGAAAAGTCGTGATGGCAGTGATGGCAGGACTGGAAGCAATGAGGATATAAGGATGGATGGATTTCATTATTACTCTCGTTGTGGTCAACTCAAATTATACTTTCTTACTAGTATTCTTTACTTCACAAGATAGTTACATGTTAGTCTATTGAATAGATTAGCGTTGTCAAACCCCGGTTACATCCATAACTCTTTTCCACTACGAATCGCCAGACAACTCTCACGGAGCTAGTCCCTATTCCTACTCGCCCTAACCCGGATCGAGCCAGAGAAGTATTAGCACCCAACCCCGTGTAACAACTAAGCTGCGATTGCGACAGGATCTTTAGAGAGAGCGCGCTAGCTACTAAACTTTCTAGTCTACTTTGTCTGGAGCTCTAGCTAGTTCTAGATAAAGCGCGACACCCACTTCTTGCCAATAGGTACTAGAGGTGGATTTTGGCCACGCGCGGCGAGTAAAGCGTCTACCATCCGTCGCACGTCAATGATATAAGGCGGAAAACCGCGTCGGTTAAGGTCTAGGATTCACTGCACGAGAGACTGCTCTTTAATAGGCGATAGCTTGCGGTTGACAGAGGCTGTCTCTGATCGTGGCTAGACACTATAGATACGCGTGTGTAGTGTAGATTGTGGTATATCAAAGGCTTTTGCGAGAGCACGAATAGATTATTTTAGATTATTACGATAAGATGCGATAGCAAGGCTTATTCTATCTTCACGAGAAGTCTATATAGAACGTTGTTGTCGCGGCATTATAGTGGTTGTGTAGAGCGTTGGGTGAAGTTTGGTAGGGTGCCCAGCTTACTAATCTGCCCAGCTTACTAATCCCGCACGTTAACTAACGTGTTCTATCAGTAAGCTGGCCGTATCAGTAAGCTGGCCGCCCCACCAAAATTGACGCGACGCTCTACACCACCACCAC